AAAAGATTCGTTTTTTACTCACTTTTTTAAGGCTGCTCACTATTTTCTTACTCTTTCAAGAGTGAAACTTTTGTTCCTTTCTTTGGCAGCTAAACCGCTCCCATACCTGATCATTCAAATAGAACGTTATAATTTGATAATTCGAACGGAACACTATAATTTTGTCTTTTTTTAAAAGGTCCCTGCGGGAAACACTCATTTTATCATAAAACCGCGCGTGTGCGGCGCATGTCGGCGCTTTATTTTAAATTGATCCTAGGCTCGTTTCGAAACGCCTCTCCCCTCAAATCCTTTCGCGAATGAATTTGCACGCGTTCTCTCCTCCACTCTAGCGCGGCGTGCGGTGTTACGCGAAAAAAGGAAGGTAGTCGTGAAAGTTTCGCACAGTCGAGCAGAACGACTCGGGCCAGAACGCGAGCGGTTAATTGTCTCGGCGGGCTGCCTCTCAGGTTTCGTTATTTTTATGTCTCTCGACAACTTCCCCGACGTATTCTTAAAATCTATTTTTACCATTAATTGCGCTAATTAATAAGAATGCACCGGGACTCCCACGGGCATACATCTTGTATCGGACCAGCGCGCTCGCGTTAATACATTTTAATTATTCCCACGATAAAATGGCAGCCCCCTTCCTGTTTACGACATTGTCTTCGATGAAAGTCGTACGCGACGGAGCGGCTGTGAGAAATTATAGATCGCGAGATATCGCTTGATTGCCGAGCCACTCGCGCGAGGTGCATTCCATTCTTTGAGCTTTCTCGATAGAAATTCGATACCGGTTAATGAAGCTTCTTTTCGTCAAGCAGCGTCTTCAGTTTTTTAAAATCACCGACAGTTTTTAGGCAGGACCTCGTCGGGGAGTGACATTTACACGACTTGGCGTCTCTTCTTTGCCTCCTTTTTTAGGAAAGGTAATTTTGTACAGATTTCCATTTACGCTCGCGTCGCAAGGCAGATGAATACTTTTCAGTCTCGTCTCGCTGACGTCGGCGAGATTTACGAGGCTCGTGTAATCAGCGTTTCCCTTTCCGTCGTGTGTCCGCGTAAGAAGATTCGCCGATAGAAACTCGGAAGGGTAGAGACGAACGACAACAGGGAGTTTGCGACTCGCTCGACGGGCTTCGAGCAAACAACGTGATCCTACGGGCAAGCGGAAGGAGGAAAACCCTACGGGACGAGCGCGTCGCGAGACGAGAGAACGTCCGTGGAAATACACTCGAGAAAAGGGAAGCTCCACTCGACTTGGCGCAGGGACGAGACGTTTACACGCTACTCGAACTGTTACGTCAACACGTGTTGCTCGACTACCGCTCGAAGCTCGGCCGAAGATCGAGAGGGACTTTTTCGTGAGAAATACTGAAGAATTTGTCATATTCGTTACTGGAGCCAGGAGCAAATCGAACCCTACGCGAAAGTATTTAGGAATCTATCTCGTCTTTATTCTGTTATTACGCGCTTTCAATCGCGCGTCTCGCCGAGACGAGAACACGAAAGCGTGCCTTACTGATCGGCAAGAACGTCTGCCTGTTTCTTAGCATCACGGTGATAAATTCGAGGAGTTATTTTTGGTACAGAAAAATGACGTTACGTTAAACTCGTGCCAATTTGCGTAGTCTGACTACTGCTTAGGTGCGGTGAAACGTGTCATAAAGTCTCGCTAAAAAAAAATAGCTTTGCCAACAGGATGTACTTTCGCCAACGTATTAGCGATTCTGTATATTCCGGCTTCGATAACAATATTTTCTTCCATTCTTGCCATTAATCATTACTTGCGCAAGCGTGATGCAATAGTATCGGTAACAGCGAAAATAACCGCTCGCCTTCGTGTTAACTCCAAACCGTTACTCCTGTCTGCTCGAGAAACCTTTCGTTCGCGTTTAATTCTCCGTTAGTCGCAGTATCCAAATAGATACTATCCTAATATTTGTCAATTTGTTTTTCAATTATTTTAAATGTATTTTAGTGCCTGATCTTTAGCCAAGTGCTAATGAAGGAGAAATGTTTTAAAATGCAGAAGAAAACAATGAGAAAATGTATGATATAATTTTTTTACACAAATCGATTGTTCCGTTTGTTCTGCGTATAAAAATACCTTCACGTAAGTCGTTTCGCTTAATTATTAATTAATTAATTAATTAATGGAAATACGTATCGCTATTGCAACAACACTCTCTCATTTACGTTACTAAACACACGAATCTGCGGAGAATCCACGAGCGCTGTCGGTCTCCGACCTGAGAGGGTTAAGAGGTAATTATGTCTATGAGCGGAATAATTCAGCAGATGGATGTTTAGTAATCAAAGGTTAATTCGCGCGGCGCTGTAATTTCTCTCGATTGGCGTTCGCGTACACAGGCCGGCGGTGTACCAAGATAGCGCATCCTTCCGGTGAACCGGCGCGCCAAAGGGCGAAGATCGCGCTCGAGGCGCTCGATACGCGTTGCGTAATCGGTCGCGTGCGTACACGGTTTCCGTCCGCCACGGGGCACCGGAGAGTAACGCAACGCGGACTACCGGCGTTTTATAACCGCGGCTTAACTCGCTGCGCCAGCGACACGAACTATTTTGAAGCTGGGATTTTTAGAAATATGGGTCAACAACGCATCTGGTTACGCGTCGGCGGCTCGCGATATCCTGCTCGATGCGTCGTCGTCTTCTCTCTTCCGCTCTTCTTTATTTACCGTAAAGCGCGCTAACTTGGGACGCTCGCTTGGGACAGCTCCGAGTTATAATTAACGCGCGCTGATTCTTCCTCATTTTTACGCGATGCAGACGGAGGAACGTGGGGAAAAGCGAAGCGCATAATTGTCACTGGATCGTTTCTCGGATGTACGGCTCCGATTTAGACACCGGTCTCAGGTTACTCGGCTTCGCCGAGGTGGACGGAAGCGCGAGAGAGACGCGTCTATCTGACTGGGAAATCTCGAGCGGAAAGAAGAGCCGGCGGAAAAGTGGCGGGTGTCGGCGCCCAGTTGCCACGAATCCGTTTCCCTCGCGAACCCGTTTCTTTCTCGCGTAACGACCGATAAATAACAGTCAATCTTCGGGTGCAGCGGCGGTGGAAGTATCAGAAAAAAAATAGACTTGGCACCGGCCAAGCAGGTCTCCGCCGATTGTTCCCCCCTCCCCCCGTCCGTCCCGCTCGTTTCACCTAAAAACCGCGCATGTTGCCCGGCGCACACCGTTATTGCTGGCAACGTGCCGCGCGCTGGACCTGGCGGATCTTAATCTCGTAAAAGAAGGGACCGAGAGCCTAAAAAAAGCACGCGCCTCGCGGAAGAAAGTCTCGTCGGGGTTACTTACCTCCTCCGGGAATTTATCGTCGGCGCTCGTTCGGCCATTGCAAACGCGAGAAAGAGAGAGAGAGAGAGAGAGAGAGCGCGCAACGAGATCGCGCACGATTTATGTCGGCGCGATCGTCCGGCCGTTACACTTTTACGGCCCTTCTAGTGGCGGGAGATTTAACCGGGCGATTTAACCTGACGACGAATTACGAATCGGCGACGGATTCCGCGAGGGATTTCCGATTCGTCCGACGCGGCTCTCGTCGACGTCCTCCGCGAAGATCGTCGTTCCTTCGCACGCGTCTCGTCGTCAAAAGCAGAGAGACGCGCCAACTTGTTGCTTCCGCGTGCTCAGCTTTTTCCATCGCCGTGTGATTCTTCTCCTCCGCGGGAGGCCACGCCAAAAGCGGGCCAGTCAAATCGCTTTAGGTACGACGTTGAAGGTGTCGTTGCCTCGGTTTCCTTCCGAGGTACGTGACAGCTGTCTCCCTACACGATCGGTGTCGCCGGCATCGTCTTCGTGTTATCAACGACCCATGCGCCTGCTTTCGTTTCCATTCGCGATATTTTGAGACGAGGGTGAGACGCGACTCGGAGGGATCGAGGGGGGACTAGCGTTTCGTGAGAACCGTCCGCGATTCTAAGCCGAGCGATTATCATCGCGCACATATGGGAACGGCGTATGTGGACCAAGTGATCCGCAGATAAATTTAGCAGATTAGCCGCATTAGCCCGGATTGTTGACCCGTGTGAGGCGTTCTACGTGCGTTGAACTCGTTCCACGAAAGCCTTGAGAATCTCTCAATGAGCGGAGACGGTCGTTCCGATCAACGAATCGTCGCCTCTCGATCGAGTGCCGATCGACCGCAACAAATGACGTTTCGTCCCCTCGTCATTCGCATCTTCCAATATGGTTGAACGGTTTCAAATATCATTTTATACATATAATACGTGCGGATTGTTGCTTATACGTGTATCTTTGAATTATCGCGCAAACGTCAAAAATCAGGATATAAAGCAGAAATGAAAATTTAATTAATGGAAATTTTTTAAAGTCCTATTCACTTCATAACTCGCTAATTCGATTAATTAAGCATATCGCGGAATTTCTAATTTAAAAGTTGAACGAACTTTGTATTGGAAATTTAATATTTTCATTTTTAATTTAAAGTATAAATTCAGAGAAAGTTCATACAATTTCATAGCAATTAAATAAAATTTGATGAAAAGAGAAACGTCCGAATTATAATTTTATTCAAAAGTAATTTTCAAAAATTTAAATAACATATTTTTAAATATTCATTATTATTTATATTATTTATAATGATTCATAATTATAAATCATATTTAATCTGATTTATTTATCATTATAAATAATATTTAAATATAAAGAATATTTTACGCTTTCGTATTTGTTTATCGGGGGAGAAGAGTTCTCTCAACCTTTTGAAGAATTTCGGGAAATGACACACGGCTTCTTACTACACTTATCGACTCGTTCATTGTCCGTGTACACCGCAAGAATCGCAAACGCGGCAAAGAGTTCGCCTCTATCGCTTTAAGAGTCGCGGACTCTTAAGCGGACAGCGGTTATGCGAAAACCGGCTAACGACCGCCGTCGAAGCGGCAATAATTTCTGCGGCGCGATTATCGGCGCTGCGACCGCACGCAAAACAGCCGCGTTTCTCAACGCACCGTGTGCTACCTGTGTTGCAGCTCGACGACACGGCGCTCCAGCTGTACAAGGGCGGCGATTATGGCGCTTACCTGGACCTCGAGGCCTCGATCAACGAGCAGCAGGAGGAATTCGAAGGCTTCCACGAGAGGTGAGTGGACACAGTCCATGTATCGCTAATAATAAACACCGTCTCAGGGAAATAATAATAATCGACGTCGTCCTGTTACACCGAACGAAGGATTCGGTAACAATTACCACGATTTCGTTAAGTAGTTTCAACTAAATTGCTTGGTTACTGCAAGCAAATCATCTAATACCCACGACACATCGCCGCGCGCGTCCTATATCTCTCGTACTTGCCGAATTGGCCGAGTAATTTATTTAAACTGCGCGTAATGACGGAGGCCATTTGTGCGCCGCTTAATTGCGTCCCGGGACAGTCGCTTTCTTGCGCACGCCTGACGGTGAGGTTGGATAGGTCCCGCGTCTTTACGAGGCCCTCGCAGGGCCGCGGATAATCGCGCGGCTGGACTGCTCGTGGAAGGTAGAGAGCGGCCACCGGGCTAATGAAGGATATTTAGGTGAGAAGAGGGCGGTGAGCGTTTCCTCGACACGGTCGCAGCGGGGAAACCCGCGACGTCCTGAAAAGAGGAAGGTCAGTGTTACTCGGGGCGGTTATTCTCGTTAAGCGGAGACCCACCTCAGAGTAATGCGACGGAGGGATACGTCAGAGGGTCAGCGCAAAAAGTCCCGGCACCGTCCGGCAATTAGCACGCTTTAGTTTGTGATCCCCGAGGCGCGCGTTCAACGGCGTAATTTTCTTCTGAATAGTGCATTCAGAATGGCAGGAATAGTAATCGTCCGTAGGCCAGAATTTAAACGCGCCGCGCGGTGATAAAACAAGGGAATGGCCCGCGTTGAGTACGCGTCATTGTGCGAACGATCGTTAAAAGCGTTTTCGTCCGTGGAGGAGAAGTTTTTAATTGGATTGCGCCGCGCGCGACGGGGTGTAATTTATTCGAAATGCGGAGTAATGCTGCGGAGAAAATCGCCGGCCGTCCGGCGAGGGGACGCGCCGACGATCGAATGTTGCGTCGCGGCGATCACCAGTCGCGCTGGAAACGATGCGAAATGACGATTTAACGGCCGCTTAATTATCTCAATTATACGTGACGCGTCCCGAAAGTTTATTTTTTATAGAGCTCAGTATTTATTTCCTCCAGACGGACGTGGAATGGAAATTCGGCCGAGTCAGTTGGTTGTGCGGGGCGAAAAATTATGTGTTACATTTAACACATTTCATATGTTTCCCCAACGATCCACGCGAATTTTTCTGTTAATTTAACGCGAGGTGAGTACGTTGAAAAGTCACGCAAATATTATATAAAAAATTAATATAAAATCGACACGTTAGTTGACACTGAAATACAAGATATTATTTTAATGTTTACATACGTTGAATATCGACACAACAGAATCGAATTTTCATTTTCACTTTTTTTTTTCTCGTCGAAACTCCACGTGGACTGAATCCCTTCTTGCATAAACTACGGCCAATTCTCGTCGCGTTTCTCCCGATTTTCCACCGTAAGCAATTAAGAATTCGCACGACTGAGAACTTTTGGGTATTTTTAGTGCGCTCGAGACGCGCGTTCTGTGTTTATCTAACAGCGCGCGGTATTCCACGGTAAAATATGGGAGAAACCGGGCGCTGGTTTCCGTCGTTGAGAATGCACGACGGCCCCGGCAGTATATTTGCGGTCTGCGTATCGAATTCACGTTAACGCCGTGAAGGCTAACCGTGCTCGTTGAGTATTAACGCAGGTAAACTCCCCGGGGAGGGATGAGGTGAGCGCGCGCGCACGGCGTTAAATTTAGTTCTCCTTTGAGAGCTTCGAGACCCGCGCCTTTTCGGTGACTTTCCATTCTCCCCGTACCTACGCGATTGCTCACCCACGTTGAACGTACGTTCAACGTGGTCATACGACGGCGAACAATGGCATCGAGAAACGCGGAAGCGCATGATATTTTTGCTTTCATCATCCTTCCTTCCCACGCGCCGCAGTATTTCGTCGTTTATTGAAAATTTATTCGCCGTACCCTCGGTCGCAACCACGGCGATGAGGAACGCTGCAAAAATATCAAAACGAACGAACGAAAGAGAGAGAGAGAGAGAGAGAGAGAGAGTGAGAGAGAAAGGAGGAAGGGATGGGGGAGGGGGACGAAAGAGATCGTTTCGCACCGCAGAATGTAATTGCGCGTTCTTTATTTGTCAGGAACGATTTTATTTATACCGTCGGATATTTAAATTGGAAGCCGGGACTGGACGCTAAATCAGAATCAAAAGATCGATTTTCCAGGCGGCGTGCGTTGCACGCGACGTTACGGGCGCATACATCGCAGGCTTCATTTTCGCGGCGATTGATCAAGACCGGAATGGCCTCGTACACACGCGCGTTGGAAACAAGATCGCTTCCAGTCCATTAATCGGGCACCACTACATCAGCGCGCTCGCTCGCGCGCACGCTTGCTCGCCCGCTCGATGCACCGCCTTCGATCGGATTGCATTTCGCCGGTTGCTCGTCGCCCGCTCAAAGGCACGTTCGCGCGAATGTCGAATAAACGGCCGAACGGGAGGAAAGGCGATGGAAGCCGGAGGATTGGAATCGGACGCGATTTGGGGACGCTAAGAGGAGGAGGCGGCGGAGGAGAGTTAAATAAATGTTTGCCCGCGGAGATATGCGTTCCAATATTTGAAGCCCCGCGAATTTCCGCGAACCGCAAAATGATATCATACGTTTACTCGCCTCTTTCTCCGCGCTGTCCGCCCCACATGCCGCTCGATTTTTCTCCGTCGTTCGCGCGCACACAAACACGAGTGCAAGTTCCGGCACGCGCTTATGAGGCGGCTCGGAGAGGAGATTTCAAGGTAACGAAGCGGTAATGACGAAACGCTAGTGAAACCGGTAGCGATCTTGCGCTTTCTCCCAATTCGGGACTCTCCGTGATTTTCCTCCGTTAATGCCCTCTTGAAAAATCCACGCTTTGTTTCCGGATCTCCGCCGGTCGGTCGTGACTCGAGGGATCCCCCGTGAGAGAGACTCTGAATTGCAGGGCCGTGCCCGTGGAGACATGGTGCCCGTGGCGAATCGCTCGTCGCCGCGACGGTGCGCGCGACGAGAGTCCGCACCGCCACCCACGACGGGTCGGCCCGTTGATCATGGGAAAATCTCACCGAGAGTCGGGAATCGCTCTCGCGACAATTATCCTGCCACGTTGTTGCCGAGCGCGTCGCGAAAATCGGCGCGCCGTGCAGCGGCCGTAATTGGACGATTTACATAGGCGCGGGATCGGGTGTACGCTCGACTCGGGCGATAATAACGCGCTCGATAAAACTTATCCGGGCAGATACGCCCGGACCGCATTTGTACGCGACTCGCTCGAGGGCGAGAGGGGACGGCGGGACGCGGGCCGCGCGCAAGGAGGAAGGAAGGTAGCTTTCGCGTGGGTAACGAATCGTTTATCTTTGCGGTAATGCCTGGCAACTCGCGTACGCCCACGCGTACCGTGAGCCACCACCGCGTGCGTGCGTATTCCGCCGGTATTTCTCACGCAACCCGCCGCGTCCCGCGCGTGCGAAATTAATTTGCGTAGCTACATCCTAGGCGGTCGTCTCGCGTATAAAGAGGCGGAGGAAGAGAGAGAGAGAGAGAGTTCTGTGCGGTAACAAATTGAAGAAGAAGGAGGCAGCGCTGCCATCTAATCACATAAGCCACCTTTTCTTACTTCTTTTTTTACAGTCGCTAAAAAATATCGCGCGAAATAAGTGTCTATAATGATTTCTTTTCCCCGAGCTGCCGTGAAATTTTGTGAAATATGGGCGTTCTTTATGTATTTTTGCTGGTCTCTTTTAATAAAAGCGACCTGCCGAAAGCGTACCTTGTATCGTTCATGCCTTCACGGGGGAAAAGAATGTGCTGAAACGGCAAATTGTTAATTACTATAGTGGACAGCAAAAAGATTTGTTACACGGAAAAAATAATTTTGCTGTTACAGCAAAACGTTGCTGCGACAGGGGTGAAATTTAGTTTGGTCTTTCCTTGTTATGAACTTTCAAACCGTACCATGAAAAAACTTGCTATATATTAGTTTATTCCAAGATAAACCTGAGAAGGGTAAGTGTTACTTTTTTGCTTAAATGACCTTAGTTACTCTCAGAATTTGACAAAAATGTCACTTTTGGTTATTATTTTGATATCTGAAGGGTCACTTTTTGTCACCTTTTCTCTTAAGTAACAGTCATTTTCATTATTTCATTCTTTTATTCCGGTGAGATTGGATGGCAACGCTGAGAAGAAGTTTCCGGAAGAGCATCGCCGGCGCCGTTTTCCCAGCGCGCTCGCGTTCTCGGCAATCGATAAAGCTATGAGCTTTGAGCGTTTTTTAATTAATTTCGATGTAACGTTCAGTCGCAATCGCTCGTTCTTCTTTCGTTCGTTCGCGTTATCAGTCGGTAGATGTGCCAACACACGGATTTAAAGAGACGCATCATCCACGAGACGTTTCCATTTATGGCGCAGCGCGTCATCGACGTGAACTTCTTCGTTAACGAGCGCTTCGATCGCTTTTTGGCTGGGAGGGACGTTAAAAGAATCATTAAGATTGTTTCGCAGAGGTACCGGCGGTCTACATACATGCACACGGAAACGCTTGTCGCGCCACGCGGACGGTAATACTTCATTTATTTCGCATTACGTTCTATCACGGCGCGCGACACGATGACAACGCGGTCACACCTGTTTCCCATTTGCACTTATCCCGTGGAAGATGAAGCTTATCTGCACGGATCTGTTTTTCCCGGGGAAATTAATCAGTCGCCGGAGAAAGTAGACGGTACTACCGGTACCTCGAAAACTTATCTCCATTCCGTGCACAGCGTACTTAACTGAAAGGAGGTCCCGGCGGACCTTACCTAATAAACCTCGTGTCATCGCGTTTCCCTCACGGGCCCTCTCATCCTCGCTGCCTCTCTCGCTCTTCCTCGCTCCCTTTCTCTCTTTGCCCCTTGTCTCGATCTCTCTGTCTCTCTCCGTAGAGTCTTATGTAACCTGTTTGAATGCGCGTAGGTACCGGTATACCGGGCGTATA